AGGGAAAGGAAAGAAGGGAATAGAATTAATATGAGAAAATGAAAAAATGGAAACAAAATCTTTGTAAATAGGGAGGGATGGAGGGGTTGAAGGGAGGGCAGGAGAAGGGGAAAAAATAAGAACCAAAGGAGATTACGTAAAGGTGCAAATTTCCAATGATGAATATCATTATATTGTATACCTAAAATGTACCAATAAAATTTAAAAAAATTGGTCAGTGAATCTGAGAATCTGAGTCCTTAGTACAAAACTCTTTTCTTTTTTTGGTACCAGGGATGGAACTCAGGACTTTGTGCTTGGGGGGCAGGCAGCGGAACCACTGAGCTAAATCCCTAGACCCAAAACTATCTTTCTTTTATCAAAGAGCCCAAAAGTACACCATGCAAACTCTAGTGAAAGAGGAAAAGATTTCACAGTGCAATTACATACATTCAATTCAGCACATGGGAGTGGGGTAGCAAAGGTACGAGGGGGGCTTCCTTAACACAGAAAATTATATCTCTGTTGTTGTTGCTCTTAACAGAAACCTACGTTTTAAATAATGCTCATCTCCAGACAATTTCATCTTCCCATAAATGGGATTCAGCAGGTAGTCCTGATAAAGAGATGCAGGATTCTAAACTTCCCGCAACAACAAGATGTAATACTGCAAGACTGCAGGGGACTCATTTAGTGTCCTCACGAGCATAGAAAATTGAAGCAGAATTAGGTCACTCTGGTTTTTCATACAGATAAACAGTAAATCAAGAGGAGATACCGTTCTGGCAAGAAAGAGAGCTCCATTAAAGGCAATGGATATTTGTTCAGGTCCAGAGGAGAAGTTTATGATTCCTGGAGAATTATTTGAACAGAAAATGACACTGGTACATTTTGTTCCTTCAAGGAGCAGAGTGACACTTTAAAAAGAGAGAGAGAGAGAGTGTGTGTGACTTTTGGTAACTGTGCTGGTGAAGCAGCTAGTGGTAATTTTTGAGAAGGAATTTTCAGGCCTGTGATGGAGACAAGGACAGGACAAAAATACCACAGGTAAGTGGCTTCCTGACACAAGCAGGCTGCATTACTGTTTTGATGGCAAATTCTAACTTGATTCAAAAGGGGCGATGCGATTCAAGTGTGAAACACATCTCCCATCCAAACATTTCTGGAATTAATTTACACACCAACATGACAACTCTTGAAGTACCAAAGATCTCACTCCAAATGGAAGGAAATGGTAGGGGTATACTGAAAGGACACAGTTGTGCCCAAAAGGCAGGGAAAAGCAGCATGGAGCAAGAGAGCTTTGACAGTATAGAAGCAAGCAATAAAGTTCCATCAAAAAAGAAAATGGCTCAAAAAGAATGAATCTAATTTAAACAGGGAAAATGTTTTAACTAAAGAGCTTGCACAGATCACAGGCAAAATGTTCACATGCAGAAACTTATTTATGCAATGAAAGAAAAAAGGCCAATTTGTCAAATGTTTGATTTTATGATAACAAGGAAAAGCAGTCAAGTGAGTTAAAAGTTTAAAAATGTAAGATTCAAACAATTTCCTTTCAATTTTCATGGATATGATAAGCGATATGACACAGGCCAAAGAAATTAACATCTGTTAAAGAATTCCTGACAGATGATTTTTGCTCAAAATTTATCAAATTGTAAAAGAGGTTAAGACCTTGTTCAAATCTTTCACCAGCTGATAAAGATGCACTGGATCCTTCTAGTAATCAGGCTGGAGGTGAGTAAGCCATTCTATTACAGGGGATCAAAAGAAAAGGTCTCATAACTGTCTTTTACAAGTGTCTAAGGAACTTAATTTAACCCTTTCAATGAATGAATTTAAATAATCTCTGCAGCTGAACAATTTATATCCATCTAGGGAGAAGCTATTATTGCTCTGTAATTAAAAATGTGATGCCCCTTGAATGCTGCCAGGACAAACCCGTGCTGCTTCTTCAATGATCACAGGAAAATTCAGGCTCAAGGTTCTGAACGCCAGGATCTTGGACCCAGGGTTTTCCAGACCAATGATTTCAAAAGCCATATCGCTTTGTAAAAGGAATTTTTCAAGCAATAATAACATGAAAAATAGCCATCAAACCCATTCTGCAATTCAGAGAAAAGATATCAATGGGTACAATTTTTTATTGATGCAGAAGTAAAGGACAACATACACTGGAATAGTACCACTTAATACTGCACACTTCAGGAGGCCACTCATTGATATCAGGCTTCTGAAATAGGTACAGAAATGACTTCTTTACTATTGAAGGTAGTCCTGCAATTAAAATTCTGGCAAAATGATACAGAAGATTTAAAGCAAAACAGTTAACACACACACACACACACACACACACACACAGAGGAAACAGGCTAAGGGGAAAAGGCCAGAGATTATGTAAAATGTTTAGGCAAAGAGAATGTCTTATGAGAGAGCTCACATCATTTAACAAAGGTAGGATGGAGTAGGATGGTAGTTCTTAGGGAGCCAAAGCTTTTGGAGTAACTACACAATACCTCTTTATCCTATTATTTACTTTTTTCATTACTTTTGAAATTTTTATTCAATAATAATATTCTCTAGTACACATGAAGACAGTTTTTCTTTTTTTCTTTTTTGGTACCGGGGATCGAACTCGGGTCCTTGCGCTTGTGAGGCAGGCGGCGGAACCACTGAGCTAAATCCCCGGCCCTGAAGACAGTTTTTCTACCATGGATGTGTTAGTATTTGGATTTATAGCACACAACAATTATTTACCTAGGCAAAAGAGATAGGCAAAAGAATTTGCCTATCAAATACTGAATATCTAAGTATCATTTGATGATGTAGTCAGCACTCTAGGTATACATGATATGTTCAACTAGCAAAATAAAAGTTAAAAATAAAAGGTGCATATGATGGTGCCTTTAGTCCCAGCACTGGGGAGGCTGAGACAGGAGGATCACCCAGAGTTTGAGGCCAGCCTGGGCTACATAATGAATTCAAGGCCAGCCTGGAATACATGCAAGACCCTGTCTCAAAAAAAATTTTTTAAAAAAAGGTCTTAATAGCCAGACATGGTGCCACGGGTTTGCAATCCCAGCTGAGGCTTCAGAATTATACATCTAATGGCCAGTTATTGCGAATCTTTCAGAGTAACTCTCAAAACCAAGTATATCTTGTCTAATATCAAATTAATAAGTCATGTGCTTTTCAATAAAGATTACATAAACGTTTTCAAAGGGATCCCAAATATTATCTACCAATACTATAATTTTATAATCTAATTTTTTTAAATTTAATAATATTTGTAGAATAATAATAGCCAATATTTACTGACTCTTCCTGTATCATTTTATCCTCCCAACTTTTAAGGAACACTGTAGTACTTTCTTTTAACATATGAGGACAATCACAGAAACGAGAACTATCCTGACCAAGACAACACAGCTACTGAATGACAGAGCACACTTTCTAGCAACTCCAGAATCCACAATCATAGCTCTGTTTTGTGTTGACTCAATACTTTGTCCACCCTCTCTTTGGGGTTGATACTAACCACTTAGATGAGATATCTAACTCTAGTCTGTGGGGCAAATCCTGGCCACAGCTTGTTTTTGTAAATAAAGTTTTACTGGCACGAAGTCAATGGATTATCATCTATGGCTGTGTTCACACAAAAAGGGCAGAGCTGAGTATTTGTGTCTGAGATCCAAGGCTCCACAAAGTATAAAACTTTTTTTGTCTGGTCCTTTACACAAAGTTTGCCAAATCCTAATTTAGATGAACATGCTAAATCAGGTAAAAATAAGTTTCAGGAGTACAAGTTTAAATAAGGAGCCCATCTAAGGACAAGCTGGACCAAGCAATAAACTAAAACATGCATGAATTAAAACTGAGAATATTTGATATCAAGCTAGCAAAACATGCTTTAGCATCATGAGATATGCCACTAATCTGAAGATCAACCTCTGACCATTTTAGTCATTTGAGGACACAAACTGACAAGACAAGGTTAACGCATTACACAATCTGAGTGTGAGAGGACCATTTCTTGGATCTACAGCAACCCAAGCTGGGCTTTGCATCTTCAAATCCCCAGCGCATGGCATGTTATAGAGATGGATAAAAGATTCCAACTGAAATAGTGAAAATCACAACCCCACCAATGGGCCCTTCCAATAGCACACAAACTCTTCCTGACTTTATTCTGAAATCATTCCCCCGGCAGGAGTTCCTACCCTCAGAGTGACAGCTCTTGCCCTGTCCCATAACAAAGACCGCAGCCCAGGAAGGCATCTCAGCCCCGAGGCTGGTGGGCACTTGCTGGTCTCCACAGCTTGACCCCTATGGAACAGGGCAGTACCTGTACTCCCGCTCCTGCAGGATTTCCACGGGGTCCAGGCCCTGAGGCTTCTGGATGGGGCTGATGCGGCTCTGCTTCTGCTGCAGCTGAAGGACAGGCGAGGGCTGTCCCGGGGCTGGCTGCTGGACAGAGGGGCCAGGCACAGCATTGGTGGGCGGTGCGGTGGCAGGGGGTGCAGGAGAGGGCCGGCCACTGGTCACGGGCACCTGCAGCTTCTGCGGGGTGCTGGTCCCGCTCACCACCTCCAGTCCTGGGCCTGTGGACACAGAGCAACATGGGCAGGGCAGGCAGGAGGACACCTGCAGCCACACATGGCTGGCCTGCCACCCAGCCCAGGGATGGGGACTGCAAGTGTCTCAGACACCCAAGGGAGAGAGAACAAAAAGAGAGCGGAGTGGGGGAGAAGAATGTGGTGTCTGTCCCCGTGGACTTCCCTAGCATTGTCAGAAATGGCCAAAATGGTTCTTAGCTAATGAATTAAGGAAAGTATGGGGTAGCTTTTAATGTAGCTCTATAAGTGGGATTTAAAAAAAAAAAGAATGGCAGGTGCATTCAAACTTCAAAAAGGGGGATTCCACAGCAGTTAGACCCATCTGAGCATCATCCTAAAATCACATTTTACAGCCTGCAAGGCTGCCCCCTTCCTGCAGACCTCTCTCCCACTTCTCCCAGTCCTGAAGGCCCCACTGAGAAAAGCAGAACTTTACAACAGACAAAGAGCATGCTGGGCTTCTCAGGGAACTGAAAGGCACCCACATTTTCCCTTGGTGGCCTTTAAAAAGCACCATTTCAAGCTTATCCAGTTCAGTTGGGGATTTAGCTCAGTGGTTCCGCTGCCTACCTCACAAGTGCAAGGTCCTGAGTTCAATCCCTGGTACCAAAAAAAAAAAAAAAAAGTTTATCCAGTTCATCTTGGGAAGGTAAAAAAACGTTACTATGGATTAGAAAATATTTCTAAAAACATTCAGTGTCAGGAAAAAATATCTGTTCACTTCCCTAATAAAAATTAGCAAACATTAGAATTCAAGAGAGCATTTTTCTTCTGTTATCAGAAGAAAAGGACATGCAATCTTTAAGCTTCTCAAAATGCATTTAATGGGCCGAGGATGTAGCTCAGTGGCACTGTGCCTGCCTGGCCAGCGCAAGTTCCTGAGTTCAATCCCCAGTACCAAAAAAAAAAAATGCATTTAATAAGCTAATTTAAAATCGTTTTCTATGTTAAACCTTAAGAGTTTAAGTTAATTGCTAGGTATGAATCTAAAATAAATTTTCCACCTCTCCTTCTAAGTGAATATTTAGTTGGCTTAAAATTATAAATAAGATTAGCCATACTACCAGATGAGTCCATAAATTTAAAAAAAAAAAACTCAGCAGATGTTATAACCACTAACAGGCATTCTTCCAAGTATTTCTACATCCTTTCTAAGAAAATATAATATTATTAAGTAGTAACAGTAACAGTCTACATACTTCAGAGGAGCTTAATAATTAACCATAGGAAGACATACGGTATGAAAAATGACATTTATTCCACTTATAACAAACACCATTTAGAGGTGGGCTTAGGTGACAATGCAAAGAGAGCTAAGCAAACATTTTGACAAGAGGAATGTGAAGAGCTAGGACTGCTCTGGAACAATAGTGTGTGTTGGCATGGGGTGTGTGTGTGTGTGTGTGTGTGTGTGTGTGTGTGTGGCATTACTGTTGTGTTTTCTTTCCTTTTCTTCTGAAATTAGGCAAAACTTTCCAAAAGATACAGATTTTTTTTTCCTTGAGGTAATTTGCAGCCTTAGTTCTAGGGGATTGATAAAAAACCATCTTTTTATTTTTTTAAAGGAGAAAATGAGCTCTATTTGAATTTTAAGGTGACTGCTCTAGAGACTGCATTAAACATCTGTAGCCTTTCCTTTTTTCTAAATTTTTACTTTCATTACTTTTTTAATTATAATTATTAGCACATATTCATGGAACAATATATTGGGATTCTTTATGAAATTTTAACACATGCAAGTAAAATGTTTGATCATATTTGTTCTCCCCACCTCCACCTCCCCCCATTAGAGTCTTTTTCCTTTTTTCTAACAGTCTATTTTAGATATTTTAAATTTCAAACATTTACCATTATAATGAAGTTTTTCAGCTAAATATTCTGATTTTTTAAATAGGAGACTATGCATATCTCTTCAGAATATTTTTTATTTAGAGTTGCTTTCATCCAGATATGAGAAAAAAATTTCTAAACATTGAACATTAAATTGTTAAACATTAGTATGAGTTACAAGAATATTTTCTCCTAGAGATCTTTAAAATAGGGTATATTTTTCATTTAGGTTGCTTTAGGTGTGATCCGCTCAAATGAGAAGAGATATAGATTTCTAACATTTATTTTAATTCTCTGTGATTCTATGAATCACTTTAATAAGCTCAAGAAACTAGTAGAATTAAATATATTGGAAGCTTGGGTATAAGCACACTAAGTAGTACATTTAATATATTTTGATTATAAGCTACCAACTTTGATAAAAAAATTTAGGTCTCACGATAATGTCATAATAATTACTTTAAACTCAGTTTTCAAAATGTTTTTAAATCTTCTCAAAGTTCAAATAATTCAAAAAGTGTCACAGTGTTCCACAGTTCACTCATTTTGGTCACGTTCTTCTTTAGCTTTTCTGTTAGTATGTACATACTGTTGGAGAAAACTTTGAAGACTCCTTAAGTTATATTCAACTCATTATTTTAAAAAACATATTTAATCAAAGAATGCTATCCAGAGCACATCTGTCATCCTGTCCTCTGTAGTCCACACCTCAAACTAGATCTGATACATATATGGTTAGCTCTTCAATCACTAAATATAATGACATTCTAACTTAATCGATGCATTCACTCTTAATACCAAAGAACAGAGAATGACCCAAACATGAACTTATGTATTGAAATCTCTAATTTAAGAGTACTACAATTTGCTGTGCACTAAACAGTTATAAAGTATTCTTGTATCTTTCAATAAGAAATTAGAAATCTTCATCTCAGTTCTATCACCTACTAGTTATGTGAGCCTGAGCAAGTTACTAGGGCACTGTGTGCCTCAGTTTCCTCAATGATAGGAAAGAGAAACACTAATGCCCACCTTATAGGGCAGTGTTGAGGACCCAAGGAGATAATGTGTCTATACTCAACTCTCTGCTTCTGTCATATTTATTGCCACCAACGACAGGGAGGTAAAGAAGCCTAACTTAATTCCTGTCCTCAGCTTTACAGAAAAACTCCATGGCAAAAGAAAAGACTTGTAGCAAACTTTGAGACTACTATTTTCTGTAACAAATTTCAAAATGTCTTTACAGTTTAAAACAACTCAGCACAAGTACTCAGATAAGTCAGCTGAAGACCTGCTTCCTGCCAGTCCGCCATCAGAGCCACTTAAAAGCAAAGCCCATTTCCTAACAACACTACAAGTTCCTTTACTGTGCGGGTCCACTTTCTCTTCCCTCCACCAGATTGCATAAATACTTCTATTTATAAGAGGCTGGAGAAGCAAACGCAGCTTTCTGAAATTAGACATGCTCAGAATGCAAGCCCCTATTCATTAGGTTTTAGGTCCATCCTTCAGAGCCTACAGGGTTCATCTGCTTGACTGGCTTTGCTCTCTATCTACAGAAATCACCTCTACTCCAGAGGTGCATTGCAGAGGACCTTTCCCTGCTATCTTCAAATGGAAAACTAATGCATTCTTTAGCTTATCTCTTGCCCCTCTCCAATGTAAACAACTTAGGCTTAATTGTCAGAGGTACAAAATGCTGTCTGCTTCCCCTTCAGTCCCCACCTTAGTGGTCTTGCAGCACTACTAGGGGTCTGTATGCAGCCCATCCCATCCCATCCCATCCTGCCTGATTCAAAGAAAGAAGACAACAAATGTTAAAATACCTAAGTCTCCCATGCACAGAATTTCTGTGCATTCAGAGCTGCCACTTAGCACAAGGGACTCTTATGCAAATAACCGTTCTCTGCCTTAAAGAGGAAGGTAAGTGGTTTCCATAGGTTCCAAGGAGCAAAATCACTTTCATTTTCTACCATAAGGTCTCCCCTGCACCATGCCCAAACCAGAACTTTTTCAGTTCCTATTTTTATTCTGCTTTAATCTCTAAAAGGAAATGTGAACCAAAACAAAAAAGAAAAAGATGGGCTAGACTTGAGGGGGGCTCATAGTATCGAGGACACATTTCACAGTAGGAATGACTGCGATTACCCATGGGAAACCACCATAGTTGGCTGTTCTGTATGCAGTGCCTCAACCATACCGAATCCTCTGGTGGTGGCTAGGACCATGTCACTTTTGGTGAAGTCTACCTGAAGTAGGTAAGAGGTAGACCACCCCTTTCCAGAACTTTCTCTTCACTCATGACTAACACTAGGAAATGAGACAAAAAAATAGAAATCCAACTATCACTAGATCAGGGGACATAGTAAACTTTATTTTCTCCTGAAGTATCAGCAGGGATGTTTATAAGCAATTATGGGCAACTATATTTTTTTTAAAAGGGAGACAATAGGGCCCAGGATTTAGCTGCCTGCCTCGAAAAAGCACAAGGTCCGGAGTTCAATCCCCAGTACCAAAAAAAAAGGGAGGGGGGGATAATAAAGTTTAAGATTAACTTTTAAAATGTTGCCTTATTTTGACTTGTTTTATATGTCAATCTAAAAACAAGTCTTCATCAAGTAAGGTTATGCCTTCCCCATGAAATCAGATTTGTGAACAAGTTCTGCAACGCTCCTGGATGGAAGCGAGAATGGATCATCCCTGAAGGAAGTATCTTTTTTTCCTCCATGGCTTCCTTGTCCACTCTGACATAACACCCTATCTGCCCAAATACTTTCATGTTTAAGGAAGCCCAATTGTTAAGAAATTAAAAAAACAAGAAGTGAGTAATAAAATGAAGTCCTTCCAGTAATGACAAAAATCTGATGAAGGAAGAGGTAAGTACTGGAGGTGGGTAATAAAAAAGGATTCCTTTCTAGAAAGATCTAGAAATTATGCACAATTGTTTTTATTAAAACATGAAGTATGACTTACACGCACATGCCCAGTTAACTGAAACTCCACCTTTCAAAAGTCACGGTTTCATTCAGTTCCATTTTAATTTTGGGTGAAAAGGTTTCTCAAACAAGTAAATTACCTCCTTACATTTTTAAACAACACTTTGGAATTTTTCCCTGCTGGGTCTAGAACATTTTTTAAAAAATACTAATGCTTGCATAGACCTGCGACCCAGTGACACTGCAGGAAACGCTGCATCTACACTGGATTGCGCTCATATGTCAAGGTCTTAGACAGCTACCTTTTGGCAGATTCAGGGTTTAGTCCCTCCTCTCCATCAAACATTATCTATCTGGTTGTGACCCACTGGCCTCTGCTTGAAACCCTTTTAGCTAATAGTTCTAAACACTGAGATGCAGGGTAGAATTAATTCTGTAGATAGAGGGTTTGGAGTACTTTTTTACTTAAAAGGCTCTACACAGAGAGCTGGGCTCTGCTCTTCACACACAGGAGCAAACTGCTTGCATTCTGGTGTATACATGCTGCAACAGATTCTTCCCCTTGTCTTGAGCGTATTTTCAAGGAGGATCCAGTATGGGAAAATGGTCAAGAATGTGAGCTGTCAACTCAGGCTGCTAGGGTTTGTACTGTCCCTCCATATAGGAGACATATGACATGTGCAAGGCACTTCTTACTGAGAATGGGGCATGTGTAGGCCAGCAGCACTCAGTAAGTACAAGTTCCACACACGCATACACATAAAGACTTTTCCCTTCTATCCAGACACATTCTCCTGATCTGACAGTTTACAGTTTTAAAACCTGTTGCAGGTTCATACTGACATTTTGTGCATCATTTTCTGATATGACTCTTTCTAGTTCCTAGTGCTTAATTCCTTTGTGGTAGTCAAACAGAAATCCAGATATCCAATGATACTTTCTTGCTCTTTAAAATTCCACTGTGATGGTCCAAATGTTTGTGTTCCTCCCAAGTTCCTATGTTTAAATCCTAACCCTCAATAAGATGGTATTAGCAAGTGGGGCCTTTGAAAGGAAATTAGGCCATGGGAAAGTATTCCTCATGAACACGATTAGTGCCCTTATGAAATAAGCCCCAGAAAGATCCTTTGCCTCATGAAACATGCAAGGACACACCAAGAAGGCACAGTCTATGAACCAGAAATCAGGCTCTCACCACACACCAAATCTGCCATCTTGGACTTCCCAGCCTTCAGAACTATAAGTGATACCCTTCTGCTGTTTTTAAGTTATTCAGTTTACTATATATTGTTACAGTAGCCTGAATAGACTAGGACACCCATGCGTGCGTGTGTGTGTGTGTGTGTGTGTGTGTGTGTGTGAAGATGGAATGGAACCCCAAGGCCTTGCACATGTAAGGCAAGTGCTCTACCACTGAGCTACACTCCCAGCCCCTAAGATACCAATTCTTAATGCTACATCTATAATTAATAAGAAAAGATTGTCTTCCAGGTGGGGCATCTCTTGAAGCTTGAAAGACAAACTAAAATGGTAGATTTTTTTTTTAAATACTGATCTGAATTCTTTCCCACTAAGTCCCAAAACCTAGAAAGACCACCAACATCCCAAAGTAACTGTTCTTGTTGACCAGCGTGTCAGGGCTTACCCAAATGAGTGGAAACCACTTACAGTACAGGAAATGATATCAACATCTTAGGAGAATTCCATTCTCCATTATCCAAAGCTCTCATCAGAGCTGAACCATAATTCTCTGCTGATCCAGTTCTTAACAAAACCTGTCCTAGAGGAAAAAACTTCATGGAAGAAAACTGCACCTCCTTGGACCTCTGAATTCTGTTACCAGAATCAAGCCAGACCACCTGAAGGCCACTCAAAGGATTACACCATTTCTACCTGTTAAATAGTGTAGCTTCTCAGTTTATTCCAGGGAGACTAAGAAACAGTGCATGTGGAATCAATAAACACATTTACTGATTTTTCTATCATTCAGTCTCCTGCAATAATGATAATGAAGATGATTATAACAGTACAGTCATGCTTCCATAATTTTGGGTTCCACATGAATTCAACTAAGAATGGATAAAAATATTCAGAAAAAATACTGCATCTGTACTGAACATGTACAGAGTTCTTTATCATTATTCCACAAATAATACAACATCTATTCATATAGCATTCACTTGTATTAGTATTATAAGTAATCTAGAGATGATTTAAAGTACACAGGAAGATGTACACAGTTATATATAAATATATAAATATTACAACATTTCATGTAAAGGACTTGGGCATGGTGGACTTTGGTATCTGTTAGGGGTCCTAGAACTAATCAGCCTCAGATCCCAAGAAAAGACTGCAATTTAAACAATCATCACACCTGGGTAATCTACTTCATATTCACCTGCAGAAATGGCTTTGTGTCCTCTTTCTGAACGGTAAAAATAAGGTGTTATTAGCTTCCACTGTCAGGAAACTCAAGTCACCTTTGCAGCTTGGCCACAGTAACTATAAGGATTCACAGCAACTATGCTCCCCATCCCTGACCTCAATTTCTTTTTATATTTTCCCTTGTTTCTGATTTCTTACTTGATAATTATTTTACTATAGGTATGCTTCTTGTGGGATTGCTCAAATGCTTTTCCAATAGAATAGAAAAGAAATAAATCAACAGATACAAACATCTGCTGTGGGTCCAACTTGAGGAGGGGGTTTGGATGACAGAACCCAGTGAGTAGAAGGGTTCCTAATCTGGAGCCTGGGGTGAACTTTAAAGAAAGCTGAGCCTTCTGAATAAAAATGAAAAATTATGGGTGAGTGTGCTGTTTTCCTAGGTCCACAGCTTGTATGAGTCTCAACAGGTTAAGACAACAGGAGGGGACCAAGAATCCTCGCCAATCTAAGTGGAGCAGGAAAGAGGAGCCAGCGAGGTATAAGAATGGCTAAGTCAGCCCCAGACTCGTCCCCACCTCTACCCCCCGCACTTGTACACATGAACAGTCCTTCTTATCCAGGCTGGACCACAGCGTTATGCCTCTGGTTGCATATTTACCTACCAGATGGTCTGCTATAGTTAACAAGCACTGGCTGCTGCTGCGGCTGTGGTTGTGGCTGCGGCTGTGGTGTTGCCTGCTGCTGCTGCTGCTGCTGCTGCTGCTGCTGCTGCTGCTGCTGCTGCTGCTGCTGTTGTTGTTGTTGTTGCTGCTGCTGCTGCTGCTGTTGTTGTTGTTGTTGTTGCTGCTGCTGCTGCTGCTGCATGCCAGGCAGTGTCCTTTTCCCCTGGACTGCAAGCTGCAGTGTTTCAGGGAGGGGCTGGCCCCGGGCCAGCATTTTGTAAGCTAAAATCTGGGCCCGCAGCTGATGCAGCTGGACAGGACTGAAAGGCGAGGGACCCCTGTTGGCCTGGTTCATGGTTTGTGGATCACCTGGGATAAGAGGTCCTGGCTGGCTTGGTGGCATCTGGGGCGGCGTTGGGCCTCCTCCAGATATAGGGCTGGAGACGTGTTCTGGGGCGCCCAACGGAGATGGGTGTGGTGACAGATAACCTGAAACACAACACAAGGAGATCACAGGCTGCCCACAACTATCCTGAAAAGGAGGTATTCCACACTGTATGATGGAAATTAAAGTTATACAGAATTTAGCAGGTATGTAAAGATCAAAAGTTTAGTATATAATACATACCTGATGCATGTAAATTTAACTTTTCTTGTAGCCACATTACAAAAGAACCAGGTAAAGTTAAATTTAATAATACAGTTTCCTTAAACTAACATACTCAAAATACTAACATTTCAAAATAAAAACATTATTGATGAGCTATTTTGGAAATATATTTTTTCATACTAAATTCTCAAAATCCATTAAGTATTTTACATACATGGTACATTTCAAGTTATCAGTAGCCACTTGGATACTAGAAGGCAAATGGTTAGTGGTTGTTGTCCACCTAAAAGAAAGGCACTGATGCCGGGGATTTAGCTCAGTGGTTCTGCCGCCTGCCTCGCAAGCGCAAGGACCCGAGTTCGATCCCCAGTACCAAAAAAGAAAAAAGAAAGGCACTGCTGGATAATAGCTACATTCAAAGTAGTTCTAACCCAGGAAACAAAACCTGAAGCTGTCCAGTATATCTCAAAGGGGCATGAAGAGTGTCACATAGGGAAAGCAAATATTATCTGGTTTATTATCATGTAAGTTATAACTAATTTACAGTTTTTGAGGCCTAAAATGTTATAGGCACCGTGTAAGGGAATGTACACACTGTCTCAGCTGAGTTCTCCCTGGAAACACAGAATGAGAGCATAGCTGGTTTATCTGGGAGATGTGAGGACACAGGCAGGGGTGTGGAAAGGTGTCAGAAGGAATGGAGGTATCAAATAAGAAGTGTTTCATCAACTCAACAGCCAAGGTGGGTCCTGAAGATTAATCCAGTCCAGAAACTAGAACAGGAGACAAATAAACTGCCTCCAGCTATCCCAGGAAGAGAAGCCAGAGTATCTGGACTCCCACAGTCATCAGTCACTGGTTATGTGACTGGCTACCATGAATGTTCTGGGGATCACCAGCCCCCAAGGCACTGTGCCCCCCGGGGGTACGCAGGATATATAGGCAGAAGCACACCACCAGGGTGATTCTGAACAACAGAAATCAGGCCGGGGTGCGGGGGGGCACAAGAAATGGCAAGAGAGACCCAAGGGCATGAGGAGAGCATGGACCCATGCATCAATCCTAATACAGCCCTCAAAGACGTGCACTGTCACTTCTCCTTTCAAAGTGAGGACAGTGAGCCTAAGAGCTAAGAGAATAAATGAGCCAGGGATTTGGCTCAGTGGCGCCACACCTGCCCCCAAAGCGCAAGGTCCTGAGTTCGATCCCTGGTACCAGTGAAGAAAAGAGAGAGAGAATAAATGAGTTGCTGAAAGTAAATCTTGGCAATTGTAAGACTTAAACCAAGGTCTATCTGGTTCCAGTGTAGACACTCTTTCCATGATCTGATACAAATTTTGTTATATAAAAATAAGTTAAGGAATTAGTACCTCCTCAAAGGTACTATAAAAATAGGAGTAACCTATTTGGGTTATAAAAGACCTAAGTGGGAAATTTAAGGACACTTTTTTGAGGGGAAGAAAAATCAAAATGCACAAATTTTAAGACACTTATTTCAAGAGATGGCCTACATTGCCTGTTCAAAGAATTCCTAAAAAAATATGATCACATGGCACTGGAAGGAGATCCAAGAGGCCTGCAGTGACACAAAAGGATGTCTTAAATTCAAAATGCCGATTAACAAAGGCAACAATGTCCCCAAACACAAGGTTTTAGCTCTTTAGTACATGTGAACATGTCACACTCATCACGTGGGCTCTTATCAAGTAAGTGCTTTGATCTGACCCTATGAGAAGTGGGGACTGCGCATCTATGCGGGCCAATGCTCCTGTGAGCAACCCTCCATGGGGACTCGCCATCACTACTCGAAGACCAAAGAAAATGAAGCACACAGTTACTTTTACCTCCAAGTGCCATTTGGAGAGGATACCCTGAGACAAAAATGGGTTTTGTTCTGTCAGTTGGTAAGGAGAACTCCACTCAGGTAACTTCTACCCAAAGAGAAATGGAAGGACTGCTAGCCTCGTTTCCCAAATCCCTGCTCTACAAGAGAGTACAAAAACCATGCAGCAACTACAATTCTGGTCAGCTATGTAAGTTAGCCAAGAAAATTTCCCTTGAAATCAGCCTACAAGACTACAAGAAATTCAATCCCCAGCATGTTGGTATTTATAATAATGATTTAGAGGATATCGATTGCATATTCTTAACTTTTGACATCAATATTCTTCCTTCTTGGGCTAACGTTCATCCCATAATTGTAATACTGCTGCGAAATCGTAGCTGGTTCATCATGACACCTTTCTGGCCAGCCCTAAATCTACTACGAGGAATGAAAACTCAACCATAGAAATGTTCATTCTAATAGCAGGAGAGATACTTCCCAGGATTTAAATGGGTTGTGTGTCTCCTGCTTTCTAGTCTTTCCTATTTCCCAAGGTCCACAAGTCATGGGATGCCTGACATAATCAATCAAAATATGAGGCCATCTAGTCTAAACTCAACGGTATCACACTGCTTATCAAATCTCTCGTTTCAACTATGAAAGAGGCATCGAGGTGAGACATAGAAAATAGCAAGGCAATGTCATAAATATGACAGAGTTCTATTAAGCAAAAGGACTCAGCTTCTGAGAAGAAAACCTGGTCACTGGAAAACCAGGGCCAGGAAATTTCACCTCAAATTTGATAAGAAAGAAACAGAGTGGAATAAAAATCGTTTTCCAGAATTAACCAATACAGCAAAATTTTACCTCAAATTTGATAAGAAGAAACTGGGGGTGGGAAGAATTATTTCCCAGAATTTACAGAGGATGTTAATAGAATCATTCTGTCACAGTGTGACATTAAAAATGTGACAATGTCTCAGCTACTGAGATTTCTTTTCTCTACATTTGTAACATTCCATAAAACTTGGGGAAAAACAGATTCCAAATGATATAACAACATAATGTATTTTGATAATTATCCTTAGTTGAGAAAACAGAATGAAGACATTTCCTAGGAGTGAATATATATTTATTTGTCTGAGGATGACAATGTTGATGCAGATTTAACTCTTTCTGAAATCCTCTTTGATATACCCATTCAAAAGTAGTGGGAAAATGGGCAGTTTTTCCTTTTCTGGTTTTCAAAAGCTATTATCTCCCCAGTTTCACCTTGCCTTGGAGAGAACCAATAACCTCTCTATTAATAAGCTCAAATATTTAAGTGCCAATTTTATATAAACTTTCTACACACACACACACATATCCTGTACTATACCTGCTTATGACGGCATTTCTATCCAGTGCAGTAAAAAATAAACAACGCTATCATTCGGACCATAAGGTATATAATTTGTTATTTACTGAAGGAAATAGTTTTGCTTCCCAGCCAATACACTAAAATAACATAATAGGTTGCTACGTAGTTAAAGCTAACAGCTTTCTGATCAATACCACACCTCTCTATACCTCTGTGTTTATAAATGGCTTTCTACAATAGGGTTTTTAAAGATACATGCTATTACCAAGCCTAAATTCTTTTTAGATCATTACAAGAATAGAAATGCATTATACCAAGACTTCTTTACTCAAAAATATAACTTTAACTAACTAATCTGCCAGCCTACAGTGCACTTTACTATTTTACAGAATATTATTACAGGTTAAATCTGACTCTACTGAATGCAGACTTGCACTTCAAAGTAATTATAACTTACAGAACTTGTATAAAAATTGAGATCCATTTTAAATTGTTGACTTTTCTTTTTTTTGGTACCAGGGATTGAACTCAGGACCTTGCGCTTGCAAGGCAGGTGCTGGAACCACTGAGCTAAATCTCCGGCCCTAAATTGTTGACTTTTGAAGGCAGGGGTTTATTTAAATACCTAACTGAAGAAAATTTATTAAGTATCTATTCAGTCATGTGCTTGACACCTTGCCAAGTGTTAGAGATTTCAAGATAAATAAGACATTATTCTTTAGTGAGAGTGAGGAGTCAAGTCATAAGACAAATTCTGAAAAGAATACAAGTAAAACTGCTCTCAATTATGATTTAGGCACTTAAGGTATTTTTTTGTTTTGGGGTTTTTCTATAGTCCCACTACTGCAGGTACCACAATGTTAACACCAGAAAGAGCAAGCCCCTGGTACTAAGAATCACTACATATAACTCATCTATACCTTCCAGGAATTAATAATGAAATCTACATTAGACACACCCTTCCCCTTCAAATTTAAAGTATAAACCCATAAATAATGAATGTCTTAATTCATTCCTAACAGTGAATGAGTCAAACTTTCTCTTCCTGCACTGCAGACCGTTCTTCTGACACGGTCGAGATTTTATGAATCATCTCCAACAATTATGCCTGCCTGCCATCAACATTCACATCAGAGTCTGAGGTGTTCAAAAGGCTGTTCAAATGTTAGTGGAGAGGTACTCTGATATCAGCTTCAAGGACTGGCTTATTTATATTTCAAAAAGAAAATAACTGTGAATATATTTCTCTAAATCCTCACAAAGTCTTTCATCTAGTAGACCTGATTGTGGATACAGGGAAAACTCACACACAACACACACACACACACACACACACACACACTTAAATACATAGAAGTATACACACCAACACCAAAACCATAACCCTTGGGTTAGTGTCCGCCTATCAATATCAATGTCGATTAGTGCTATCATAACATGGCCCTGACCTGCTGAAATGACCGCACAATGATTCTGAAGTCAGGCTATGAAGTATTTAAAAGGCTTTGAAGTATCTTAACACCTTCAACAAGGACAGAAGAAATAATGGCATGTAAGGCACAAAGGAAAAAAATATAAAAACATATCCTATCTTGATAGGGCCATAGCTGTAAGTTGAATTTGCACCTTCCAAAAATGTTAATGTCCCTACCTCCTCAGAACTTTGACTGTGACCTTATTTGGAAAAAGGGTATATGCAGATGTAATCAAGATGAAGCCATACTGGAACAGGGAAAGCCTTCATCTAAAGAATAGTGGTGTTCTTATAAGTAGAGGGAAATCCAGACACAGAGACAGACATGCAGAAGAAATGCCATGCAACCACAGAGGCAGAGTCTGGAGTGATTCATCTACAAGCCCAGGAATGCTGAGGATTACTGACAACCACCAGAAACGAGAAAGAAGCAAGGAAGGCCTCTTAACATCTTCAGAGAAAAGCATGGCTCTGCTGATACCTTGATTTTGAACTTCTAGCCTCCAAAAGGAAGAGAATGAATTTCTGTTGTTTCAAGTCACTCTACTTGTGGTCATTATGGCAGCCCTATGAGACTACTATAGTCACTCATTAACAATGCCAGGTACTTTCACTGCCAGCAAACACCACTGTATTCACAGCGATAAGTACGCAACTCAAAGAACACAGGTGGTTTGTTTTACCTTCACATTTATGCTGCTGTTGGCAAGCACATCTGGATTCTCTTTCTGGCCCTGTCACTTAGTCAATGTGCAAACATAGAGAAACCAAGTGAATTCTCTGTGCTTTAGATACTCCACCTATAAAGTGGGGGTAACATCATTTAACTTACAAGATGATGGTATAAAGACTGTGGATAAAATACATAAAGTACCTTGTAGCATGTCTGAACACACAATGACCAAGAAAATTACTAGGATTTTGAAAATAAAATTGCCCATATAAATCATAAATGTGTGTGTTGCTAAAGATGGCAGTAGATTTATGTAGGAAAAAGAAACCTGCTGGATTTAACCTTCCTCAGGATTTCTTTGGAAGTCATGCTTAAAATACCCAATAGGAAAACTCTGAACGCTATGGTATGGAATCACAATCAGGTGTGCAGCACACACAAACCTTGGCTGTGTTGATCCATGGGACTCTGGGGAGGGCCCATTCCTGGGTGAGGAGGTCGCATACCAGTGCCCTTCATGGTTGTACAATGGAGGTCTTCCACAATCCCCTTGTCGAGCATCCCATCCATGGGCTGGAACATTTAAATGGCATCAATTAGACATCTCTTTAAAGTACAATATTTCTATCTGGAGTTATAAGACCCCCTCAAAAGTCTTCAAAAGGGTGGCACAATTACTCATTACCCACTCTGGAGTCACATTTTTTACACCTCACAGGTGGGAGGGTAGAAAAGATTATACAAATAGGATAAGCAAAACCATTTCCAAGTTGAAAGTTAAGGCCTTAAAACCATTTAAAATTTTTTCTTCGGTTATGTCACAACCTGCCAATAAAAAAAAGTCCTGTTCACAGGTAAACAAATATAAATTAAGTCTTCCATACCCTTTTAAGTTGTCTTGAAACCTGTTATAAATTGAAGTTAGTTTAAAGTATGAAGGAAGACTATTTGAGATGCCTGTAATGATCTCCTTTTTTGACAACTTTGTCCCCCACTGGAAAGGAAGGAGCAATAGAAAGTTAAAAAGTAGAAACCAGAAGGTTCCATGGCAGTTGGGAGAAGAGAAGCAGACAGGGCAGAGAAGCGAATGAGGGTGAACACGGAAAAGGTCAGAGTGTGAAACAGAGAAAGCTAAGCTCCAGAGGAAGGAAGACACGAAAAGGTTAAAGGCAGACTTTAGAAATAAATAATGAACACAGGGCCAGACCCAAGACTTGAGGCCTATATGACAGACACACAACAAATACCTATTGAACTGACGTTAATCCAATCCAGAATTGAGCAACAGAGCATGTCTTTGGAAAAGGAAAAGTCTATTCCTCCCCAAACTGTAATAACAATTTTCAAAACAGCCTGCAAGGAATATTTCCAGGAGTTTATAGAAACCAAATGACTTCAAGCAAGAAAGTATGAGTGTTTGCAGTTTTGGAGAAAAGAAAGTTAATTTCTGCAGAGTCAAAAGCAAGTGCTTCAAAAGAGGAAAAATTTACCATAAAGAGGATGCTCAGAAGAAAAATGGGAAGAATCTAGTATAAAGAGTGTCACTGAGTCTGTTAAACAGTAATAATAGAGAGGAAATCAAAGCAACACAGCAGATGTATTTGGGCCACTTGTTTATTTATTTCCAGTAATGTTGAAAAGCAAAATGCTGAGCCTTAGAGAGAGGAGGAGGAGCAAGAAAAGGAACGAAGCTGCCTATAAAAAGAACGTAAGAAAGAGACAGCATCTGGTCAGCAGGTGTGAGCGCTGCAGTGCTCACCCAGGGCCTCATGCATGGAATGGCTGAGGGGCTACAGGGGAGGGGCAGCAGGATGGCAAACACTGCAAAACAATCCAAACAGAGCAATAAAGCAGGTACAGAATATGAGAAAGTACAATAAAGATGCTAGGTAACAAAACCAGAAGGAATCAGAAGAGATAACAACCAATAAGACAACCCAGTTTAAAAAACATAAAGGAGGACACAGCCCTAACGCTCAGTTGCACACTTCATTTTTAAATGCTTAAATAATAAGCAAAGGTTACCTAAATATTTCCTTCACATTTTGTTTCACTTGAAAGGTAAGACATCCACAAGCCATTCTGAAATGCTGTAACCCACTGGGAAAAAGGTTTACAAGAGACAGCACATCTAAACACAGCTCCCAAATTAACACAAGATAATTTAATGGCTCCAATATGTCAACCTGTCCCCGCAAGATCTCATATGACAACAAGAAGCTTAATTTTTCTAGATACCTGATGATATAAAAATGGCTTTAAAAGAGGAGGGAGAGAACTTGGGGATATCCACGATGTATTATTAAATGAAAAGAGGAAGGTTCAGAGTGATGAATAAAGATCTTACAATTCCATTGTGGTAAAAGAAAAGAAAAAATCACACCTGTAGATGAATACCTGTGCTAATACAGTAGTCACTGAACATGGAGAAAAGCAAGGTATGAAACACACGTACAAGAAGCTGTTCCCTGGGTAAAACTAGGATTAACTGCTTTCTTTACTGATCTTTTGTTTCACTTCTCAAAATAAGCATATACTACTTTTCTAATTCGAAAATCACAAAATAACAAAGCATTTTTTAAAAAAATGGACCTCCCCTTGTAGGCTCCGACATTCTACCTTAAAACTGACCTAAAGGGCTTCACAACTGAAGAAAGACTTGCTCTTTTCTGGGGTAATCCTTATGTTTGAAGCCAGTATCTTCCACTACTTGTCTACCGTGCCGGTTAACCGGTTAATGTTATAGGTGAACTAGGCTAGGATGTTGGTCTGCTCCTGCCCTGTGACCAGGACTTACAACCACTGACTCTTCCGGTTTGCAGGCATCTGGACTCAGACCGGTACCTCACCACCAGCCCTGCTGGGTCTCCAGCTTGCTAATCTCAGATGGTGGAACTTCTGGGCCTCAGTAATTACCTCAGCCAAAGCCTCATAATAAAGGTCTTTCAATCTCCCAGTGAGTCTGTTACTCTGGAGAATCCCAATACACCTGCTGGATATCTATCTGCAGACAGCCCACCTGTGAAGTCCTTGGAAGGAGTATAAAACCTCAACTCATTTCAGCAGAGCCTCGGGCTTGGGCCACTACTAACTTCCCAAGAAAATTGCTGCAGAGGATTATTTTCTTGAAATTCTGCTCATACTTCTCTGCATGTCCAAGAGGACATAATGCCAAATTGTACCAGTATGATCAATGTCACAGCACTATAAAAACCTGAGCCTCACAAATACTGTATCATTATTATCTCAACCCAAATACAAACAGCTGGACCTGAGCTCCTCAAAATCAGAGTCTTCTTCTAAAATCAGAATAAGCTACTTTAAGGGGAGCAGCAATGTGCATTTTAAGGATTCCCTAGAAATGATTTAATTTCAATAAAGCATTTTAAATATATTTGGAAACAGGCCCTCCTTTTAGGGATCTAAATTTTTTAATAAATGTCAACATTTTTAGGGAAGAATAATTTTCAATATGCTCATTCTTGGATGAGTATGTTATTGAACACAGAAAAAAACAAGACTTATTCACTAATACACTCATTCACCAAGCCAAAATACCTTCAACCTACAAATAGCAGAATCTGTCAGAAATGCATGGTCCACCATAGTATTTTAAAGAGCTAACATCTGATTTTCATAACTGTACATCTGTAGCAATAAAAGTGCCTCTGACTGTTCATTTTTAATATTCCAGATAAGACAAAGATCTAGCATGATTCTTCTATTAGCAACAGTAGAAAAAAGAGATGAGGGTTATCAGGAATATGAGCCATCCACGACTCAGAAGACGAGATCAAAAGGGAGCATAAACTCTTACTTTATGCAGCTGATGCATGCCTTCCTGAGGGAAGTCGGCAGAGCCCATGGCTGGCATCTGATGTGAGACGCTGGGGGGCCCAGGACTTGGCCCCATCATGCTGTGGACGGAGCCTGGGGAAGGTCCTGGTCCTGGACTGGGTCCCAGAATCGGTCCAGGAGAAGGTCCGGGCCCTGGCGAGGGCCCAGGGTGGGGCATTGCAGCTGGGTCTGTGGGCGTGGACATCTACTTCTCCCGTCTGCCAGTCAGTAGAGAGACGCTAAGTTGGGAAGCAGAAAAAAAGAGAGGAATGCTTTAAACATGATGTTAAGATCAGAATAAAACAGTTGTTAGCATTTGATGGTGCCATATCTGTAATAAACATCAAACAGAACTGTTCTGCCTAGTCCAGATGTTTGAGTGAATGTGATATACATCCGCCTGCCTCAGTCTTTATGAAGACCACTTGTTTAAAAAAAACCACACTCTCTAAATGATTCCCCAGAAAGACATAAATCATCAAAGATACAGAAAGACTCACTGGAGAAACTGAAATTTAACACATAAGCAGAATCTACACAAGTCTGAAATTTATTACTGAAGTCAACAAATACTCTCCATTACTTACTGGCCCAGATCCCTTGTAAGCCATTAACCTCCAGAAAGCCACTAGAACAGAAAACCCTGAAAATGTATCCAATCAAGACCCATTTTGAGAAGTCAACAGACAATCAAAACTTCTCAGAGAATTCTAGATAGCTGAAAAACCAACTGCATAAAGTGACAATGAAAGACAAGTCCCAATCACGGAAAAAGCAGAATCTGCGTGACGCACACAAACAGGTTCGAATACTCATGTACGCCATTACTAGCTAAGTCACAATGTTTCTTCTTTTGAGATTTCACTGCAAGGGTATGTGTAAAAACCATGACACACAACAAACAGCCACTGTGCTTTACCCTTATTTTCCGCACCATCCACAATGGACCTGAAGTGATTAGGAAGAATAGCAGAAGGCATGGTCCTTCTGCCAGATAAATAACCGAAGCAGAGACCACTTGGTCAGAGAAGGGCAGCCTTCTGTGCCCGGCCTCACGCTGGTCCAGGATCTGTGGGAGCAGCTGTGTGTGACTCCTGAACTAGGCCTATGTGTGGACATTTGGGCTCTTCACGTGCACCAGAGCAATATTCCAACACGCACGCTCCAGGACTTTTCGGCATTCCCACTGGGGACTGCCTCCTGGAATGGCTATGGCTGCACCTTGGATATGAGCCAAAATGAGTAAATAATGTTTTTTCCAGACTTGACAGAAATCAATGATCCCAGCAAGATAGCTGAATACCACTGGTGAGAGAGTAATTATTTTGACATTACGTTGGAGGCACACACAAAACTTTTTTGCTATCACCTCAAAAAATACAGACTAAGACCCCCTAAGTGATTTGCTTACCTAGCGCTTACCTAGTGACAGAGGTGGGCTCAGACTGTGGCAGCCTAGACACCCAGAGCAGGGCTCTTCCTGTAGTGCAATCGGGTAAGAAGGCAGTACAAAAACCCTATCAGTTCCCTGTCTCACTACCTACTATCATTTCTCCCTTGTGTCTCTACAATGGGAGGGCTTTGAAAGCAATCTTGCTTTTCTTCACTCCTGTATCCCTGGCATTTCTGACCAGCACACAGTGAGTGCTCAAAAACATGATGAAGGGCCGGGGATTTAGCTCAGGGGCACAGCACCTGCCTCTTAAGCATAAGGTCCTGAGTTCAATTCCCGGTACCAAAAAAAAAAAACAAACCCATTTGATGGATAAACTGCAGACAAAATTTCAAGGGTAAACTATTAATGGAGTCAACTAATTTTATAAACAAAAACTGGAGGGTAATCAGTGTTTGAGGTATGTTGGCATAAAGAAGGCATTAAAGTGTAGGCAAAAATTTAGGCCATGCCAGGCACAGTGGCACATGCCTATAATCCCAGCAAAATGAGAGGCTGAGGCAGGAAGATCATGATTTAGAGCCCAGACTGGTCAATTTAAGGACTCAGCAATACTCTATCTCAAAATAAAAAGTAAAATGGGCTGGGAATGTAGGCTCAGTGGGAGGGCCTTGGATTCGATCTCCAGTACCATAAAATATAAATAAATAAATAAATAAATAGGCCATTTTGATAAATAAATTAGGACTAAAATGGGAAATAGTAAAAGGTGACCTTATAATGATTATGAAAGCAGGGCTCCAAGCCGAGCCTAAGAGAACCCAGTACAAGTGGTTTCTACAACAGGGGAGCACTAAGGGTGAATTATAGCCTTGAATTCACTGGAGAGCCAAATGTTATTATTTATTCTTTGTGATTAACAAAGCAAGCAGAAATAACTTTTTTTTTTTGCCTTCCACCACCTCTCCACAAACACACACATGTTCAGTCAGCATTTCAAATTTAGGAAGCTGACGTCAATTCAGGGGTACTACAAGTTATAATGTTCTTTCATGTATATAAGCAAGCTAATACACCCCTTTATTTCTTAGTGAATAAAAGGAAATTGCTTAATTCCTGTTATAGTTTATCTTGAAATTGGCTTCAATAGGTATTCTGGTAATATGCCACAAGTTTGAACAATGAAGATACCAATACTGAGGTTAGCCTGATATTCCTAATTTCCAACTTTTACATTATAAAATAAATTAGCCCATAATACTGCTCTCTGCACATATTATCACTTTCATCTGGAATTCTCACAGAATGCTATAATTACTCAGTACATTCATATAAAAATACTTCTCATTTTTTGTTAAAGGGAACTTTTAAAATTTTTTAGAAGAAAACAGAAGGAAAATGGAAAATTATGGCACTTAAGTGAAATGTTTAAACAGGAAAATGTCATATAGAAAACTAATAAGAGGAAAACCTTCAGATTCATGGACCTATTAAATATACAGGTCAGAGAAATCCTATGGTTTCATCTTATGCCACAAGGCTAATGAATGGCACGGGTCTAGAATCTGACAGAACTTGACCATGATAGTCACTGACTTCCAACCATCATCCAAATGTACCCAAAAAGAGGACCTTGCAAAGATAGGGACAGCAGTCTTAGCTTCTTATTTTTCCTCTACATTTCTGGTGGTGACTTTACAGTTCAGGTATATAATTAAACTCTCCCACATTTTTTTTTTGTACTGGGGATGGAACTCAGGACCTTGTGCTTGCAAGGTAGGTGTGGTGCCACTGAATTAAATCCCTGGCAAACTCTCTCACATTTTAAAGAAACTCTGGGGTATGAATTACAAAGAGATGTAATCCTCAAGCAGAGGTGCACACTATTACTAAGTTACTAAGTGGTTAAAGTTCAAACTCTAGTACTGGTCAACTCAACCTCTCCCTCTGCTACCCCTAGGAATTCTTGTCACTTTCTTTTCCAAAGTACTACAGTGATGGCGATGAGGTGGCGATGGTGGTGATAGGCAAATTAGAGCAGGGAGGGAGAAGAAGGTGCAGATAACCTTCCTACGGTGGTAATAGGTCTGTCTACCTGATAAAACTCCCAAGCTATTTTCATTTTGTGTTGGGAGAGGGAGTGTTACACTGTCACAGAAAAGAACGATCTGTTCCACAATGATGTGACTAATTCAATGAAGAACGTGTGCCCGGGAGAGAGGCTCAGCCACCTCCCAAACACATGCACTGCGGGTTTCCTGTCCTTCCCCTTGGAGGGTTCCCTTTACCACACACCAGGACTCCCTGAGGGCCAGACCACTGTGTTCTTAGGCAAGAGTTTCCAGCAGTACACCCTGTCTTCTTTCCCTCCTTACATTCCAGCCTTTATAACTAGGGAGTATACAGTTTAAGAAATAAAAGGCCCTGGAGCTTTCCCACAACTCCAAACAACAGTCATCCCTCCATCGGCCCAAATCTCCTTCCCCTTCTCTTCCCGGAAAAGCTCAGTACAGCCATCTGCATATTGAGCTTTCAACTCCACAGAATTTTAAGGGTCACCACTCCAAATAGGACAATCCAGACAAAACATATACCTTAGGGTCTAATTGCAATCAATAGAAATACAAAGCCCTCCTCCCCGCCATCCATATATATGTTAAATACCTCTCTGTGCTTCCTAGTAGTTTTAGTGATCCAATTGAAGGGGCATTTTATCACACTCCCATTGGAAAGATAAGGGTAGTAAGGCAGGAAGGGACAGCATGGCTCGCCCAAAGTCACACCTGTAACAGGAGTAAAACCTTAAATAGAACTTCTACTGATTTGACATGCAACCCAACACTGTGCCTACCAGGCCATCCCGAGGATGGAGAGTTGTTCCTTGGCCAGAGTAATGTGCAGGAGTAGAAAGCAGAGGACAAACAAAGAGGGGAACAATGAAAGAGGTATCTTGTGAAGACTAGGATTTGGCTGTGATAGGACACTAATTTATTAAGGGACACAGAAGTAAAGGAAAACCCTAGAAAGTATATGGGAGAAAGACAATATCACAAAACGAAAAGGTTGGTGAAGCTTGTAATCAAACATACAAAGGATCTGTTGTACTCATTTATTTCCAACTCAACTGAGCACCACCAGGTCCAAGGCATGTTGGACACATAAAAACAAGAATGCTTACGGCAGAACTCTGAAATCTGATAGGGAAATGAGACTTATACATACCTGGCAACAAGAGAAAAAAATGGAAGATCTTCCAAGACAAGTAGGGATGCAACTTAAATGTTCACACAGTGACAGGGGAAGGACTGCTTTCAGCCTTCCGGGTGGGAGAGGGAAAAGATGCATGGGAAAGTGCCAGGGAGATGATGGGATTTCAGTTAGGCCTTCAAGTTAAAGAAAGCAAAAGTTTCTAGAAACTAAGAGCTGGGGCAAATCTCCCCAGCCTCGATAATACCTTTTAAATTGCCCTTCAGAAAAGTTCAGAAGGAAGCATGGACAAAACTTAGATCTCCAGCATATCTTTTTCCACTTTTTTTCTTTTTGTACCGGAGATCAAACTCAGGACCTTGCGCTTGCAAGGCAAGCGGCGGAACCACTGAGCTAAATCCCCAGCCCTATCTCTTTCCACTCTTGCTTTATAGAAAAACTTTGAGGGCCAGGTTATAGGTGGGATATCAGAAATACGAATTAAGACCAGGCTATATGGCTAAGAATAACACAGTGTTTTTAAAGTTTTCTGGCTGCTATGGGATAAGGACAAGGCTCCAGAGATAGTGAAGATAAGATCTCTTTTTATGTCTGTCTGCTCATTCAGAACATCTCCTCTGACCAGAAGGACGGCTTCTT